AGAGTGGGAACTCAAAGAATGAAGAGTTATGGAAAAACACAATTTCAGAGCATTGTTTTAGACTAAGTTTTGTTTGTTTGTTTTCTTTTAACAGACAGGGTCACACTATATTCAGCCCTGGCTGGCCTAGAACTTGAAGTGTGTTGTTGTGCCTGGCCATGGTTTGTTTATTTAGATTTATACTGTGTGTGTGTGTGTGCATGCAAGTGCGTGTGTGTGGACCACGTGAGTGCAGGTGTCCTTGGAAGTCAGAAGAGAGTATAGGATTCCTGGAGCTAGAGTTACAGACAGTTGGATGCTGGGAACCCAACTGAAATCCTCTGGAAGTATAGGATGCATTTTTAACCACAGAGGTATCTCTCCAGACCCTAAGATTTTTTTATTATCATTTAATATTTTACTTATTATTATTTTATGTGTATGAGTATATTGCCTGCATGTATGTGAGCATACCCATGTTGAGCAATGCCTGTGGAGGTCAGAAGAGGGCATCGGATACCCTGAAACTGGAGTTATAGATGGTTGTTAGCTACTATGTGGGTTCTGGGTATCAAATCTAGGTCCACTGCAAGAGCAGCCAGCGCACTGAACCACTGAGCTATCTTTCCAGCCCCTAGAATAAGATTTTTTTTAAAAACAGAAATTTTTTTTAAAAACAGAAAAAAGATTTTTTAAAACACACACACACACACACAAAATTAAAAACAACACAAACAAACTCTAACAGACCAGAAGGTGAAGACTATGAAGATCTGAGTTCTTAACCTTGTTCTTCAACTCAATAGCCAAGAGATCTTTGACAAGTCATCTGAAAAAACTCAGAGACTGGACTAAATTAATCCAAAGTTAATTTAGTTACAGGACTTTCCACATATACTAAAGTAACTCTTGACCCCTTCCCATTCTTCACTAGTGAGTTTCCTCAATTACATCTGACAGCTAGAAACTGGTGACCAGGAAATAAAAATAAAATTAGCAAGTTAATGAAAGAGAAGTCAAAATTTCAAATCTTTTTTCCTTGGGTTAAAAAGAACAACTGCTAAATTTGTTCTTTTATAAATAAAACACAAATGTAGCAAGGGGAGAGCCCTCACATAACAGCACACATTGAAAACTGTGGGCACTGACAAGGTGCTGCTACTTAGCAATGGGGCGCATCACCAGAGAACACTGCTTTCTGAAGATTCTGAGTTTCAATATGATGTTCTCACACTCAATAATCAAGGATCCCGTGGGCTCATATCAAGAAATAAACCTAAAATGACTTATTTTTGAGGCTGGGCATGGTGGTGCACACCTTTAATCCAGTGCTTAGGAAGCAGAGGCAGGCAAACTCTATGAAATGGAGGCCAGCCTGGTCTACAGGCTGGAGTTCAGACCAGCTGAGGATACAGGGAGACCCTGTCTCAAAAAAGAGAGACATTTTTAAAATCGACTGTAGCCAGGCATGGTGAAAGTATGTAGTCCCAGCACTTAAGAAGCAAAGCCAGGAGGATTGCTACATGTCTATACAGTGAGTTCCAGGCCAGCCTGGGCTACAGAGCAAGATTCCATCAAGGAAGGGGGGGCGGTAAGGGTAGAGAAAGGTTGTTTAAAAAAAACCTAAGAAAAACACAAGGTAACACTTGAATTTTTGAATTTTAAATTTCAATGATTAATTGATAAAATAGTCTTCAAAATATACTACAAAGTGTTCAAAAAGAGAAAAATTTAGTGCAAAAACATGTGTAAACGAAACCCAGTGTTACTGTGGACAAGCTCCCTTATGATTTGGAGATGATGAACAGGAGCTGTAGAGTATCCCAAGTCAGTGAAGGTTTACCAAATTTCCAAAACTTGAGTTCAACAAAAAAGATGGAGGAAATGGTAACATAGCCTCCAGAGGGGCACTTAGTGTGGTGGAGGGGAAATGAGGGAGAGACTGGTCTCTGAATCCCTTCATATACACTGTATTATAAGAATGTAAAGTATTACGTACTAAAATACATTTTAAAAACTAAATAAAATCCATTAAAAAACTGAATAGGACTCCATCGAAATTAAAATTATTTACTCCAGAAGAAAATGAGAAGACAAATTACAGACTTGGAAAAAAATACGAATTAAAGAGAAATGTCATCCAGAATATGTAAATACCTCTCAAAATCCAGTAGTAGAACAAAAATGAAAAGTGGGGGGTGGTGGTGTTTAAATAGACATTAGTCAAAACTACAAATGGTTATTAATAAGGACATAAAACATGGAGGGAGGCTGCTGGAGGTACGCTGCTCAGCCCCCTGCCCTCCTGCATGTGCTCAATAAACTGCTTTTCCTAAAACAAAAAGAAACAACAAAAACAGTGGCAGTTAGCAGGAAAATTCAAATTAGGGAGATGCAAATTAAAACCACCCTGAGATACCACCACACAACTTTCAGGATGGCCATAAAGCACATACATTTTGGTGAAGATATAAAGAAACTGGAATCTTCCTACATCATCGGTAGGATTTTAAAATAGTGCATCAACTTTGGATAAGCTCAACAGTTTCTTTAAAAATTAAACATAGCCAGGGATAGTGGTACACATCTTTAATTCTAGCACTTGGGAGGCAGACACAGGCAAATCCCTAAAGTCCAAGGCCAGCTTGGTCTACACAGGCAAGGCCAGGCAGGGCTACACAGTGAGACCCTTTCTCAAAAAAATAAAAAACAAAAACAAATGATCAAAAAGCAAAAACAAAATGTCACTATTGAACCCAGTCACTCTACTCCTAGGAACCTATCAAACCAAGAAAAATGAAAACATTTTCTCATAAATGTCTATGTGAGCATTCACTGCAGCCTTATTCATAAAAATCTGGAAATTAATTCAAATGCTTATCAACTGATAAACAGGTAAATGAAATGTCTACCCAATGGAATATTATTCAACAATAAAAAGGAACAAGCTATTGAAGCATGCTAAAAATAAGGATGAAAGTCAAAAGCATTATGCCAGGTTGCAAGAATAGTTACTACATGATTTCATTTGTGTAATTTATTTTTTAATATTTTATTTATTATTTATTTTTTATTTTATGTGTATGAGTGTATTGCTTGCAATGTATGTAAGTGCACCTATGTTGTGCAATGCCAGGGGTTGGGGTGTGTGTGTGTGAGTGTGAAGAGGGTGTTGGATTCTCTGGAACTGGAGTTACAGACAATTGTTATCTCCCATGTGGGTGCTAGGATTTGAACCTGGGTCTTCTATAAGAACAGTGTTCTTTTTTAAATATTTTATTTATTATTTTTATTTTATGTATATGAGTGTATTGCCTGCATGTATGTGAGTGCACTGTGTTGTGCAGTGCCACCTATACGGGTCAGAGGAGGGCTTTGGATTTCCCTGGAACTGGAGTTAAGGTCGGTTCGTAGCTGCCACGTGGATGCTCTGCAAGACCAGTCAGTGGACGGTTTGTAGCCACCATGTGGGTGCTGGGAATCAAACCTGGGCCCTCTGCAAGAGCAGTCAGTGCTCTTAACCGCTGAGCCATCTCTCCAGCCTGAACAGTCAGTGCTCTTAACCACTGAGACATCTCTCCAGTTCCCTCCATTTGTGTAATATTTTTAAAAGGCAAATTATAGAGGCAGAAAGTAGACCAGCGGTTGCTTGTGGGTAGTTGAAAAAGAGGTTAGCGACAAATAAGTACAAGGAGACATTTTAGGCCGACAAAATGTTCCAAGACCAAATTATAATAATGCTTACACAACTAACTCTATAAATCTATTATTAATTCTTATTCTTATTCTTATTATTGGTCTTTTTGAAACAGGGTCTCCCTGTGGCCCCAGCTGGCCTGAAACTCACTATGTAGACCAGGTTGGCCTTAAGCTCACAGATATCCATCTGCCTCTGCCTCCCAAGTGCTGGGATTAAAGGTGTGCGCCACCACGCCCGACTTAAACTTACTTTTAAAGAAAATTGAATTATCAAAAAGAAAAGCCTGAATGGATGCCCTCACTGAAAATTAAAATTATAAAGCAGTAAGGATGAATTTATTCTAAGACTGTATAATAACTAAGAGGATTAATTATTCCAAAACAAAGTTTTCATACATAATACGATTTGGGCTAAGAATTCTTTGCTAGAGAGAATGTGGTAATTCAAATGGTCAGTGAACACCTACCCTAATACTAGAGATACAAGGTTGTATATGAGAGGTCACTAAAAACTTTGATATGCAATCTAGAAGTTCAGGGAAGGAAAGGGATAAACTAAGACTGAACATGGTAATATATCACTGAAAAATTTCTCCTAAAAAAAATCATTAATCAGCCATGTGGTTGAGATTGCAGATTACTTAGTAACTAGGCAATGACTGGACTTAAAAAAAAAAAAAAACCAAAACCCCAAACAGCAGGACATTTATGTGCATGCATACACATGCATATATGCACAAGTGTATTCTGAGCAGTCCTAACATGGGAATCTGAAATGACCCAAAACAATTTTAGCACTGACGTTACAGCACAAGCAGAAAACTCTGCGGCTGCTTGCATGTGACAAAACACAGACACACTAAAATATGCAGAAATCACCTCCAGGCTATGTGATAAGTACATTCAAGCACAAATAAACTTCCTATTTGACTATAGTTCCATCCCAAGGACAACTCACTTCATGTATGCAAATATTTCAACTTCTGAAAGAAATCTGAAACATTCTGGTTGCCAAGCATTTCAGATACATACTTGTGTGTACTTAATTTCAAATATATATATGTGTGTGTATATATATTCAAATTTACTAAAATAGTACTTAGAAAGTCCCAGAGCATGAGAGATGTGGTAAGAGGGTAATTTAAAAGCAGCGTATTTTATTTTACCGAAGAGAACTGATTTCTTGTTTTGTTACAATTTTCCCCTAAATGATAAGAGAATCTGGCTCAGATGTGTAACTGTAGATCACTTGTTTTACACCAGTAACAAAATAGTTGGAACAGAAAATGACAGAAATGTGTTAAGATTATTGAGGCCCTCACCTTCACCTTCGGGAGTAATTGCAGAAGGACAGACTTCTCTGAGCAGATCTCCTAGCGTGTGCAGCTGTCCATCTGCAGCCACTGGACGAAATAGCTTCTGAATGAAGGGTCGTTCAGTCGTTGTCTATTTGAAAATGAAAACAAAACAAAAAACAAAAAAACCCAAGCAATGAATTCTTTACTGCTGCTAACTACAGACTCAGGTCACAATTCTATGCTGGCAAAAGTGTCTTCTGCATGGTTTAATCAGAAACACAACAGCACAGATGCAACATCACGGGAAAAATGTTTATTATAATAAACCCATGTATATCAAATTCATGCAAATATGGACTGTCAGACACTCTAGAATCAACTAACTGGATTCCAGTAAGACAGGTATCAAATAGCAAAACAATACCAAGTAAAGAAAAAGAGACAAAAGATTCTGTCACACCTTTAAAAGTATGATAAGCTATAATAGACAAATATAAAAATGAACCTGACTGACTACTGCATTAGAAGACAAAGCTTAGGCTGGAGAGATGGCTCAGTGGTTAAGAACATGGACTGTTCTTGCAGAAGACCCAGGTTCGAATCCCAGTACCCACATGGCAGCTAACAACTGTCTGTAACGCCAGTTCCAGAGGATCCAACAGCCTCTTCTGTCCTCCACGGGCACTGCACAACACTCATGCACTTACCTACATGCAGGCAATACACTCATACATATAAAATAAAAATAATAAATAAAAAAAGGAGACAAAGCTTTTTAAGAGTCCATTGTAAGAGGTTGTGAGGTTGGTGGGTAGACAGCTGATAATACTGAACTCATATCAAGCTTCTAAGATTCACAAAGTTATAAGGATCTCAGTGCCATGTGTAGCATCCCTCCCTATGATTTGTTGGTCAGGGAGGTCCCGGAGGCCACCAAAACAACACAGGCTTTTGCCATTGCTCTTGGTTGCTCACCAGAACTAGATGGTAAGACCATATTGCTGAAGACATCACATACTTTGGTTGCAGGACACAGAGAAATCAATCAATCTGGAATTGACCTAGAAACTTACTCCCTGCTAGCTAGCTTTCATAGTACTAGAAGGTGCTATGCAGACCACTGGGGGAGAAAAGCCACCAGTGATATAACCCAGTGGTGGTCCTTACTTGCAACAATACAGACCTGCCATCAAGATGTTAAAATAGTGGCATGACTGTTATGGGGGTAACCAATTGCTTTCTGATTAGATTTGAGGCCTGCTCCACAAGAGAGAATTCACGTCTTGTACTGTAAACCTGGTGATAAGTCCATGGCTGGGGAGCCTTATAGTCTAGTGGGGAAACAACTATTGCTGTTTTGTTAAATGGTCATATTGTTAAACTGGCTTCTCTATTTTTATAGTTATATTCATAGATTAGTGCTGCTTTCAACCTTGGTTAGAGAAGATTCTTAGTGGAGCAGGCAGTGGTTAATACAGAGACTCATAATTGGTCAAAGTGCTGAGTATAAGTCATTGTGAGTGCTCATTCCTAAATGGCAAACCTATACCACTCCCCACCCCACCCTAAGGCTCAGGGAACACCACAGAAGACAGGGCAGAAAGTATGTAAGAGCCAGAGGTTGGGGAGGAATGCTGTGAAATACTGTGGCATGGCGTGGCTGTAGCACTTATAAACTCACAGCAGCTGTGGTTACCTGAACAAGACCTGTACAAGATCAAGCCAGTCAAAATTCCAGCATGGATTGGGGTTAGGGGATGGGCTCATGAGGCCCCACCCCTAGTTGAGGGGCTGATGGCTGATGGGGGTAAGAGTCATTTTTCATCTTCGATCTGACCACCAATAGGTTGCTCATGCTCCAGGGGACGGCTCCACACTTGAGCACACAGGCAACACTAATTGGATTCAGTGTGTGGTTTTTTTTGTTTGTTTTTTGAGACAGGATCTCCCTGCAGCCCCAGCTAGCCTGGAACTCACTATGCAGACCAGGCTGGCCTCGATTTCACAGAGATCCACCTGCCTCTGCCTCCCAAGTGCTGGGGTTAAGGGTGAGCACAACTATGTGTGGTTCAGTGTGTTATTAAAAAAGAAAATGTGAAGGGGGAAGTACTGGGATTTGAACTGAGTATGATCAAGGTACATTTAGTGCATTCATATATGAAATTTTCAAAGAATAAAAATAAAAACCAACCCCCCCAAAAAACCAAAAAATACACACACACACACACACACACACACACACACACACAAAAACAAACCCCAGTTGACTACTGCATTAAAAATTATTTTAAAAAGTCCACTGTAAGGGAGTTGTGGGCTAAGCAGAGGAACAGACATTTCATAATACTGAATTCATATCAAGCTTATAAAGTTCCATGAAGTTATAAAGATAATCGTTTTGACAAAATTTACTCCTAAGGGTTATATTGTTTTATCTGTGTTTAAAACTATTTCCTATTCCTCAAGGCCACAGTACAGCAGCTGTGTAATCACCAAGCTCAGGAAGGCCTGGAACTTGCCATCCTGCTGCCTCAGTCTCACAACTGCTGGTCCTGGAAGCAGTGTGCGCCAAGGCCTCCAGCTCAACGTTTCATATCCCTTGTCTGTTGTACAATCAATGAGAACTGTGCCAAGCATAAACAGATAAATTACAGAATGAAAATATCTCTTTTCCCCCCTCAATTGTTAGTTCATTTTATAATGGTAAAATTTAATCTTGAGCCTCCTATTGTGAAAAAAAAAATCACAAAATATGTAGGAACAAAAACATGCATATTATAAGAATATGACTTCAAATACCTACACAAAAAGGCAAACCTTTTGAAAAAAAAATTCTGGCTTTTAATCAAAGGAATTTTTTGGCATTTTTGACAGCTGTTAATTTAAGAAACAACATAAACTAAAATATGAGAAAAATAAACATGTAAGCATGTGAGCAATTCAGGGGATATATAAAAAATGTTAAAATGGGATATGAACAATATTAAATATAAAAATAAACTGTATAAAAATAAAACCTCAGTAATACATGTCAAACAATTTGATTCATTAACTGGCTTGCTTAGGGATCTAAAAAAATTATTGCTGGGGGCTGGAGAGATGGCTCAGTAGTTAAGAACACTGACTGTTCTTGCAGAGGACCCAGGGTTGAATCCCAGCACCCACATGACAGCTAACAACTGTAACTCCGATTCCAGGGGATCCGACAGCCTCTTCTGTCCTCCACAGGCATTGCACGACACGGGTGCACTTACCTACCTGCAGGCATAGCACTCATACACATTAAAAAATATATATATATGTATTGAGCCAGAGTCATATGTAGCTCAGTGGTAAAGCACTTGCAAGGCCCTAGGTTGGATCTCCAGTACTACCAAACTAAACTCTGGACTTCTCACCAACAAGAACAATAACAACAATAAAAAACCCATAACTAGTCACATAATTTCACTTTCCAAGACTGGAAGATACATCCATAGGTAATAAAGTACAACATTCTAATTACATGATAGAATGTAAACTCCTAAAACAAAGAACTTCAAAAAAGGTGAAAATGAAGGACAGAATATGCATAGTAGTCAAGCTTCCAACTTGAAATAGTATTTTTAAAAATATTTTTATTTTATGTATACGAGTGTAATGCCTGCATGTGTGTAAGTACATCTCTGTAGCGCAATGCCCACAGAGGTCACAAGAGTGTGTCGGATCCCTTGGAACTGAAGTTAGAAACAGTTGTTACCCACCATGTGGGTGCTGGGAACCGAACCCAGGTCTTCTGCGAGTGGCCAGTGCTTCCAACCCCTGAGCCATCTCTCCAGCCCCAGTATGTATGTGTGTGTGTATACACATATATGTATATATATACACACACACATATATAAACACACACAAATATATATATATATATTTTAATGGAGAAAGGGATGGTGACATTTTGGCATTCACAGGGCAGCTCGAATATAAATGTAACAGTACTAGTGAGCAATCAGTGCATAACACGCAGGTTAAGGCCATCCTGTAGAGATGCTGGCTTGCCAAATGTAGAGGAAGGAACAAAAGTGTGATTGGAACCCTAACTGTTAACACAATGTGTTACTCTAAATGACATCAAATGCTAGAAGCCTGCTTCTGAATCGGATAAGCTGGGAAAATTTGTTATCTTTCAATAAGTGCTGTGATAATAAAGTAATGAGATATATAAAATATCACAAATGTAAAATACCTAATGCAATAGGTGGTCAACAAAAGCAAAGTTTTTTTTTTTTTTCCATTCCCATCTTTGAAACTTCTACTAAATGAAGGGCAACAGTATTTAGTTGTTAGAGAACCAATTACAGAGAGAACCAAAGGTAATTAGTATTCCACCTTCAGTTTCCTTTGATACCTTATTAATTTAAATAAGTACTGCATGCACAAAGTCAAATAAAGCAGAGATTTACACAGGATATGCTGCCGGGCCAACAAAGACATGATATATATGCCTCAAACTGTCACATGCACATTTGGCTTAAGACATATTCATGCATGTCAAATTTTGCATCACATGCTTTTCAGAAGAAGGTTCACATTTAAATTAGCTTAAGAATACACTCAATTACAATATCCATTAAATAAAAATAACAGAGCAGTTTAAAATGAATGCTTTTAGACCTTTACAGTAAACAGTCTTTTGGTGGTGGGAAGTGAGGAACGGAAGAGGACTACGTGAAATTCCTGTATTCTTCACGGACGGAAGACTGGAAAGTAAGCACTAACCCTGAAGCCTACTTTTAATATGCTCAGTGACACTTAGAAAGAATAATTAACACGTGAAAAGCTATCATTATTACCGTCAGGAATGTTTAATCTCCGAAGCAGCAGAGTCTTAACTGACACTATGATCAAACGAAAAGTGCCCATTCAAATACATCTACACATTTGTTTAAAGTGTGTTTTGTCTTACTGAAATTATTGTATTTATTATAATTCTGTCTAGACAATGCCAAATATATTGTCACATTACAGTTAAGGCAAATACTGGTAATATTTTCACTAAATACTGTGTTACAGGGAAGCACATCGGCCTACTGAAGACTGGAATCAATCTCACTGATAGGACAAGGCACGTTGCTTTAAAATTTTATTCTTTGCTGTGTGTATATGTGTGTT